AGATCGCTTTAAATATAGTTAGTAGGCGTGGTTGAGATTTTTGTAAATATAACTATGAATTACACATCAGAAAATAATTAGTCTATTATGGATGACAGGAAAGTCAGTAAACAGTTACTAAATCCTTGACAATAAATAGTATGAGGTATGATACTGAAAACAGATCTCAGTCAAGTTAAAAATTCACATTGGTTTAGCATCCTATTGAATAGACTATAAATTACAAATGTTACTTAAGTCTCTCTATCACTTCAAAATTTGACATTATGTTCGACTATTGTATGAATAAAAAACACAACTGTTTTTATTTGTTGACAATAACCAAACGAAAAGGTTGTTTCACTGTGTTCCTGTCTTAAAAATATATATAAGACACTATTTAGCTATATAACTTCGCCTGGTTAACTAGCCGGTCTTAAGCCCGGGTAAAGAGGGAAGATTGGGCATATGGCTAGCAACCCTACCCTGTAAAATGAATCTAACCGCTAAAGAAACTTCAAAGCACAAACAAAATATGAAAGATAAAACTAATATTATTCCTCGCTGGAATCGGAGAAGCGAAATGACGCCGGTTGATGAAAGCCTTCGGGAAGCCAATTGGCCAATGTGTCTTCTCTCCCTCGATGAAAGCGAAAGTAAACATGGGGACATGGAATGTCCGCACCATGTTCGAATCTAGCAAGGCTGCCCAGATTGCAAAGGAGATGAGAAGGTATCACAATGAATTGCTGGGAATCTGCGAGAGCAGGTGGAATGTAAGTGGGCTGTCCAAACTGTCAACTGGAGAATCAATAATCTACTCCGGTCACCCAGACGACAACCACGAGCACACTGAGTCTTGGAGTGGCTATCATGATGTCCCCAACAACATCGAAGGCTCTCATACAGTGGGAACCAATCTCCTCAACGATCACGATAATGACAGCAAGATTCAACTCAAAAGGAAGGAAGGTCACAATCATACAATGCTACACTCAGCATCTACAAATAATGCAGATGAGGAGAAGAAGGAGGAATTCTACAGACAACTGCAACCAACACTGGACAAGACCTCAAGTGACAATATCAAAATTCTAATGGGCGATATGAATGCCAAACTGGGAGGGGACAACACAGGAAGAGAACCAACCATGGGTCGAGAAGCACTCGGTGAGGTGATGAACGAGAATGGAGAATTGTTTGCAGAATTCTGCGCATTCAACGATTTGGTGATTGGAGGCAGTGTGTTCAGGTACAAGGATATCCACAAAGCGACATGGATTTCATCAGACAGATACATTAAAAATCAGATTGACTTCATTCCAATGTGAAGAAAGTGGAGACTCAGTCTACTTGACACAAGGTCAAGAAGAGGAGCAGATGTAGGCTCAGACCACTCACAATCTGGTGCAAGGAGCCTTCCAAATCAAGTTGAAAACCTTTAAGGAGGTTGATGAAAGACCACAGTTCAAGTTCAACACTCGGAAACTGAAGGACGAAACTACAAAGGAAATCTTCACGTCAGCCATCAGAACAAAATGGGAGATATCGAGCAATATCCTTGAAGAAACCTGTGTGGAAGAACACTGGAAGTCTTTGAAAGCTATGTGGAAAGAAACCTGCATAACCGTATTAGGAAGGAAGAAGAAAGAAGATAGGACAGGGAATGGATCTCAACGGATACATGGAAGCTGATAGAGCAGGGAGAGGAGGATGGTGAAGCAGAAGGTACACCAGTACAAGGATGAACAACGAGAAGAGGAACTGAGCACAATGTATAAAACACTACACTGGACAAAGAAGTGAAGAATAGTGCACGCAAAGAAAGAAGACACTGGTATGAAACACTGGCAAGTGAAGCAGAACAGGCTTCAGGTAGGAGAGACAGAGACCTGATAACATTGCATCAAATAACCAGGTTGCTATCTGGGAGGAGATCAACACAGATGAAACCAATGAAAGATGAAGCAGGAAATATAATCAACAAAGAAGAGAAACAAAGGAAACAATAGGCTGACCACTTCGAGGAGCTCCTGAATCGACCACCACCTGCATCTACAGAACTACAAGTGAACACAAATCCTCCAACAAAAGTGGAAGTCCTGAACGCCATAAAGCTACTGAAATGCGGGAACGCAGCAGGACCAGATGGAATCTTGCCAGAAGCACTGAGAACAGACGTAGAGACAACAGCTGACATGCTCACACCACTATTGCAGAAGGTCTGAAAAGAAGGAAAGGTATCTGCCTACCTGTTGGAAGAAGGGTAACCTTGTCAAACTCAGTAATAAGGGAGACCTAAGTCTTTGCAATAACAAGAACTGGCGCGGAATCACGCTCCTCTCCACTCCAAGCAAAATACTAAGCCGCATCATCCTGGAGAGACTTGAAAATATGCTGGATTCAAAATTACTACCGGAACAGGCTGGGTTCAGGAAAAACAAATCATATGCGCATCAAGTTGTAACACTACGCTACGCACCATCATAGAACAGAACATAGAATGGCAGTCAAATCAACCTCAAATTTATCGACTTCGAAAAGGCCTTCGATAGTGTCGACCAAGGAGTAATTTGGCAGGCAGCCACTTCAGTACTACGGTTTCAGTGCCACAAACCTATATCAACCCCATTCAACAACTATCTGCTATATAATGAGGCTACATACCGAGTGATTCAAAATGGAAAGCTCAGTGATGCCGTTGAAGTGAAGATGGGGGATAGAAGTAAAACAAGACTACCACCTACCATCACCGATCATCTTCCTGATTGTGATCTACTGAATCATGCAACAAACTATGAGGAGCGAGAAGAGGGGCATGTGCTGTTCGACGAATGAAAACATCCTAGAAGATTTGGATTTCGCCAATCATGATTTATGTCTAGTGTCTTGTCACACAAACTCGAAAATTTACAGGCGAAAACCAACAAGTTGAGAGAAGAGGTGAGGTGAGGTGAGGCGAGGCAGTGAAGGGAGACGGGACCGACTTCAGGTGAATGTAGGGAAGACACAGGGGATGAAGATACCCAACCAACAACAACAACAACCACAACCACAACAAGCACCAATCAGCACCAATGGGAGGAATCGAAAGGAGGTTATCTCTTTCACTTACCCATCTACCTAAACAGCAGGTGGCAGCGATGGCAGAGATGAAGACGTAAAAGCAGCCAGAATCGGAAAGACAACAGAACAGGTCTTCCTTCACTAATCTGAAATCAGTGTGGATATCTTCTCCACTCCACTCCAATCCACTCCACTCCACTCCACTCAGCATAAAGCGAGAACAACATCCAGATTTCCAACACTAATTCAGTCAAGTCAATCACTGCTTCTATGTGATGCTTGAGAGACTTGTTGGAGCATTACGAAAAGCATGTCGAACAAACAACTGCAGACATACATCACATCGACAGCTGCCACCTACACTCACTCGATACTGACACTGATACTGACAGTGAAGATGAGATGGATGGCCGAAAGGGATAGGAAGAAGGAAGAAGGAACTCACTATGGCTGGCTGGCAACGAACCAACGAAGAACCTGTCGCGTAACAAATATGCAGAAGAAAGTGGAGATGGATTGGATTAGAGATGAAAGCTTATGGGGAGTCATGGAGCCAGGTTAGAAAGACTGCAGAGACGAGAATGAAATGGCTATGTGCTAATGGGGCCGTATGCTCCACTAGGATTCCAGGGGACAGATAATAATAATAATAATATCCTATGTCAAATAAACAATGTGATATGGAATTAGACTCTCACAAGGTGACCAAGTTTTACGCTTATATTAGTGGTGGTAATTTATTTTATTTGTTCTAACATAAATACGGTATAGCAAAGATACCAAGAAATGCACCAGACAAAGTAATATAGCAACATTACTAAAACATAAAGTGAAGGGAAATGGATAAGTTCAGAAGAAAAACACAATAAGAATAGAATGATTAGAACGGCATCCCACAAGGTAAGTTAGAAAAGAAACGTTTATTACTTTACAGCACCAGAAGATAGGAGAAAAATACAGCATGACAGCCACTGGTTTCGATTCTGAGGTATATCTGATAAAGTCTCAAGCTACCGAGTTGTGTGACCTCTCGCACTTCACCCAGAGAGTCGTGATGCAACAACAGATGCTATACCCGATACCACGATCCTTCGTCCCACAGCACTACATGATACACTGACCACCACCCCACTTCTTCCATCCAGTCCCAGGGTTATCAAACAATAAACGGTGTGGAAGCCGTTGATATGACATGTGTGACACATGTCGAAGCCATGGAAGTCGTTGTTCCCAGATGACTTCACTTATTGGGTGACGATCCTGATCATGCCCAAACACACGCTAAAGTACCTCAGAATCACTTACATGGTGTTCCCACCGGCTACAATCAATCCTACCGAGATAATGATGATGAAACACACAGAGTTGTCACATATCCTCAGCTCGGAGAGGCCTGGTTTCACAGGCGTGGAGAAGAACTGCTGGAACTGAGGCGTCATAAACCCAATGTTTTACGGTCAGACTAACGTGGTGAACGTGCCAAAGGTGGTACAGATTGATTGATGTATGTCGTTGGCTTTCGATCAGTGGTTGGCAATTTCACTACTCACACCTCCACCAGCACTCATACAACTATCTATATACAAGAATTTTTCGACTACTTCCACCGGTGGTAAGCCCCACCGTTAAGTGGTCTGCATTTTTGTGTACCGTATTTGCGTTGTTGATAAAACTTAAGGGCAGTCTGTAACAGTGATTATCTAGGATGTTATGTTTGCAAATGATTTACAAATTTTATGGTCCGCGCTTCCACTTCTCATACCTCTGCAGCTTTTTGACTGCAAAACTATGATGTCAACAGGGTTCCCGATAGAAACCATCCAACCAAGATCATGGGGCGTGATCTTTGACACAGGAGTGTCATAAGCTAACGGAATATACAACTCATATTGTTCAAAATTATAACACCGACTACTTGTGGACGAACTATTTAGAAAAAAACATTAAAAACTTACTTGTCTTCCAACATGATTATTGTGTAAGTTAGTTAGTCCAAGTTTTGGATTACGTTTCAACCGGTTACGTTCACGTACGTCAAGAAATTGTCGTGAAAATGCTGCACCAAAATGTATATTATCTGAACAACCTGACCATTCAAAATTTGGTTCTCTTGGATGATCATATATTGTTCGATCACATCCACAATTATCGTGTAACCCACTACTGCAGGCTTTAGTTACAGCATGCGATACACCTGCTGATGTGACCGCTAAAACATATGCTGATTCTCGTGTACCTGTAATAGATTAAAAGCGATGAAAAGGATTTTAAAAACTGATAACCAATAGATGCTTTGCAGAATAATTATATAATGTTAGATTGCTGATTCCTAATTGAATATATCCAGTATATGTGTACAGATTTACCTCGACATTTAGGAACCTGAGTTTCGAACTCAAAGATCATTCACTTCATTCTATTCCATTTACTTCCAGCTTTCTTCAGTTCTTTTTGTCTCATTATCATCATCAACAACAACAAGATCAAAATAAGAGAAGGTGTCACTGGATAAGGATCCTAGTTGACATACCTCAAGTCAGTACATCAAACAACAAAGTACTAAGATGAAGGATAAAGAGATTGAGAAGGATCCATCAAAAGCACTGGAAAGCAATAAAAGAAAGGAAGGAAGAATGAGAAAATGATGAGATCAAGTGTAGAAGTTAAGATGGGGATAATGTGTGGATATATCTGTGCCAATGACATTGATTCAGAGACATGCTACCTACAGTCTGCAAAACAGTTACGTACAAATCACAATCAACTCATCAACTGTATACTTCAGATGTGATTTGTACATTTATATTTCCTTTATCTCATATAATATTCATATATTCATATAATATCCACTAGCTTAAGTTTACAACCACAAAATTATCTGAAACCTGATTTCAAAACTGTAACTCCTCTAGTTAACTCCATCGATATTGACCTTATGATTCATTGGGAACAATCTCGGAAGCTGATAAGGTGCAGATCACTCTGGTTCAGTCAACGATAGAAAATCGTTAGCTATGACATTAACTGACAGCGTTTCTTTGAGATGTACATTCATTAGTCAATAGGAAGTAACCGATTTCATGTTATTTAATCCCAAATGCTGACAGAATTCTATTAAACTATTCCATCCAGATAGCTCATTGGTAGATCTTCGAAGAGAAATAGATTCCAGGTCGGACTACATCGTGAACTGACAAAAGTAAGAAGTATGAACCATTGGATTCCTACCCTGTAGCTCAGTGGTAACATCGTGGTCGTAGAACCTGAGGGCCATAGGTGCGTCTTGCTGACGAGTTCCATACTAGGACGAAGTAGCTGTTCAGTGCCCCCAGGTTTCCTATGTTCCTCCAACTAATATCAGTCGATGATGAATACCAACGTGATTGCGTTGAGGCGGGAGATAAGCCTTGCTGACAAATGTTAACAAACACAAAACCTATTTCCATAGCGTTTTGCCTATATTGGCGAACCATTTGATATAGAAGAGAACGGAATACGTCACAATTACTGAAAATACCCCCCAGGCTATTGAAGAGAACAAGAGATTCAGTGAAATTGTCTTTCTGGGAGATTTCATTCTTCATTGGATTACCTACAAGCCACCTAAAAGAACTGATATTAAGATATACATTTAGTGTACAGTTTAGATTCAATGATATAACTTATAATCGGACGGACGGAGTCACAACAGGGCCTTTACTAGGCCCTATCCTGGCTGATATCTTTATGGTGAAGCTCAAAAACGGGCCACTTAAAGAAATGATCTCGGAACTTTATTTGTATGAAAGGTAAGCTGACGACACTTTTCTCATTTGCCACGAAAGATGTTCAGTAGACGGGGCTGTTAAGACGTTTCAATGATTTTCACCCATCCATTAAATTCACTGTAGAAGAAGAGTTAAATTCAAAGTTCCATTTTCTAGACGTAATGTTAAAGAGGATGGATGGTGACTTGATTCAAAGGTCAGTCTATCGAAGACCAACCTGGAACAGCCAGTTCACTAACTTCAATAGTTGGGTACCTCTGGGTTGTAAGAGAAATCTCATTTACTCGCTGTGTTCCAGAATCCATAAAATATGTTCAGAAGATAAGATGGATGCTGAAATCAAAACTCTTAGAACCACACTATCTAATAACAGATACCTTAAAAGATTTATTGATAAGAATCTGTAAAAACGAATCACTCCCCATCCCATTACAGTCCCTAAGAAAATTTTAACCATGAATCTAGAATTCAAAGGAGACACCACAGCCGAGGTGTTGAAAAATCGTCTGTCAAGATGTATCAATAGTAGCTTCTATGCTGCTAGACTGAGATTGATATTCTCCAGCCGCCATCTGATTTGTCAATGCGTGAAGGATAGGCTTCTACTTATGTCCACATATATATGTATCTATAAATTCACATGCTCCTGTGGAGCTGACTATATTGGACTTTGTATACGGGCCCTCCGAAAACGTGTTGCTGAACACTACCCCGTTTGGCTTACCACAGGCGAGCAAAGGAAAACGACTTCATCCATATGTGAACACCTTGTTGAATTGGGACATTCAGCACCTCAAGATTCATCCTTTAAAATAATTTTACAAAGTTAAATTGAACTACTCCAAAGGTTTACGTTTCCACCACTTATGCATAGCTGAAGCATTTAGCTATACATGAACAAAAACCGAAACTTTGCATTCAAAAATGTTCTGTGAAACCTTTCTCGACATTGGCCTTAATAATTCATGTTGGTTATTTTGTCAATTTCATTTCACTTCACTTTGGTATAGTTCTCTCTTACTATTATTATTATCACCACCAATTTTCATTTCATTGACAACATTTGACCCATAGTTCACTTTTTAATATCAATTCATTCCTTATTCATTGACCTATTGTACACGTTTCAGCTTAACTATCACCATTTTACAATTCTTTGACAACACTTGTCTCTTATCTCATCATTTGTTATCAATTAGTTCATTATTCAATGACCCATTTTCTATTTCTTCCACTTGAATATATACCATCATCTACACTGATTGAGCAACTTTTTAATGGAATCATCTGTCACTTAGTATAAATACGACTACTGTACAGCTTGATAATGAAGTTGTTGAAAAGAAATGCTTCTTTTTCGCTGATGCATGTCTTGTTCTTATTCATCAATAAATGGGTATATTTTGTCAGAAAACCGAACTGTTGAAAGACAAATTGAGTCATTTAGTCCACTGCACAAAATCTAAAGGCTTGATGCATTACTAAACCAGATTTGTAATCTCTATTGCTAGTAACCAAACATGGTAGACATAAAAAGCCACTGAAATTAACAAAAATGATTCAGAGTACTAGGTGATGATTGGCTGACTTTCGTGACTCTAATAACAATATTCTCCTAGTTAACATTCAAAGTCATCACTTTCAATGTAGAGTCAAAACTGCGTACAGTAGTGATTTTCTTATGATTATCTCTGTGGCTTTATTTTAACCGTTCCTTAAGAATGTACCTTCTTTGATCAGTTTTTCTTACACATGTAAGATTGAATAAATTATCTTGGCTATGTTAATAAGGATTTTTCAGGCAAAAAAAAGAAAAGAATTAAATAAAATTGATCGTTAATAGTCATCAGTGCAATCCAGTACTCATGTTTCGTCCCACTTCGGACTCGTCAGCTGGACGTACCTACCACCTAGCTAGTGATATCATCCACAATGAGATTCAAATCTAGAACCCATCGCTCCAAAAGCTAAAACGTTGCCCACTATGCTACTCAGTCACAACTGCCACTCCTTGTGTGACAATTTTAATGTTATACCTTGTAATTTCCAGTGGCTGATTGTGAAGCAAAGTGTGCGATCAAAATTAACAAATGGGCTCCTCCACGGAAGCCTGGATATAATATGAGAAAGAAATATTCATCTTCATAGCAATGAAATTAATAACTTTTAGGCGTGGTATAACCGAATCCATCTCTTTCTCCATATTTCACTGAGCTAATCACACTACAAAAGTGAAGACTTTTAGTGATTTGTTTCCAAACAGATTAATAATAGTAAGGACCCTGAGTTCTGTCAATAACATGATTAAAATTATATTTCACTTGATTTATTTGATGTTTCACATTATTATTATTACTACTATCACTATCATTATTTGTCCCATGAGTTCCTAGTACAACATAGGGATTCACTAGCATGTCTCCACTCCACTCTCTTATATCCACTCTTCTCAACCTCACTCCACAACTACCCACAACCTCTCATTTATTCCTCACACCATCTCCTCCATATCACCATCAACTCCGACACCCAACTCGTCATTTCCAATCTGAGTTCCACTCAGCCGACTCGCCTGATGCAGGATGTCCCCAATCGGTCTTCTCAGTGTATGTCCAGTCAAATCCAATCCATCTCCACTTCCTCCCACTGCATATTTGTTGGGTAATAGGTTGTTGGTTGGTTAGATATCGGGTCGGAGTGAGTTCCTTGTTGCTTATTCTCATTATTCTGGCAATCCATCTGAGCTTCAGTAATGAACCAGTGTGGGCAGCTGTTGATGTGATGTATGTCTGCAGTTGTTTCTTCGAAATGCCTCTCGTAACGCGCTGTCAAGTCTCTCAACCATCACACAGAAGCACTGACTCACTTGACTCACATTACTGTTGAAAATCCGGATGTTGTTCACGCTTTATGCTGAGTGGAATGGAATGGAGTGGAGTGGAGTGGAGTGTAGCAGATCTCCACACTGGTTTCAGGTTGATCAAGGAAGGCCTGTCTGGCTGTCTTCCCTATCCTGGCTGCTTTGACGTCCTCGTGTGTGCCACCACCACCACCACCACCTGTAGTTGAAACGATGCTGCCTTCGCTAGATAAGCTACTCCCTTCAAGTTTCTCCCATTGATGTTGATTCCAGCTTGTTGTTATTGTTTTAGTTGGTGTTGTTGTCGGTGTTGGTTGTGTATCTTCATCACCTGTGTCTTCTCTACGTTCACTTGAAGTCCCATCTTCCTTCACTGACCTGCCTGTTCTGTCAACTTGTTGGATTTTACCTGTAGATCTCTGTGTTTGTGTGGCATGATGGAAATGTATTATTTACTAGATGACAATTTAGAAAAAAATGTGTGTTTTCTATAATCATACCAAACTTAATTGGATAACTATGATACATGGTTTATTGAGTCGTAATTCTCTCTTTGTTTTTAAGGATGTAAGCATTAGAATTTTCCATATACTTGTAATAAATGCCCTT